ACTAAAATATCACTTTTACAGCAAGATAAGCACCTTTACCAAGCAAAATGAATACATGATGACAAGCCCTGCCTCCCTCCCCCTTTGCACAGATTCTGGGACTGCTGTGAGGCATCCCTCAAGTAAAATAACATATAAATAGAACGTGAGAAACCACCGCGCTTCCTAGACTTCACACTTACTATGAAAAGCAAAACTTCATTGTGCCCCAACATACCCCTTAACACGTTGTGTTGTGTTTTTTTTTTTCCCTTTGAACCTAAGAATTTCAAAGTCGTAATGAGTCCCTGGAAACGTCTCAGTTCCTTCCTCGGCACCCTCAGGCCGCCCTCAGTGGATCCATGTGGCTTGTTGGTGAGAGTGGAAAGCAGGGCCAATCACAAATGCACTTTTCATTTCCAATTTGTTTCTCTTTTTTTTTTTTTCAAAATGGTAGAAAGTCAGACACAAAAACAAGTTGGCTGCAAAAGTCAGTTGTGCAATGGTGTCAAAATCACTCAATGCGGCAAATTTACCCTCCTGTAGTAAACAAAAGGGCATTGAGAGAAATACAGAGCTGACTATCAAGTATGGATTTTAGCTTGAGTCTCAACAAAAATCAGAACTCTTAAGGAATAGCACATTTGCCAGACTGCAGGATTTTTGCTATTTTTTTCTGCTTTTTTGTTCTTTTGGTTTTTGTTTATTCAGTTGCAAAATCTGGGGGTTTTGAAGCCATCCAGAAATTTTACACCAAGACCTTGCAGATAATAACTTCTTTCGATATAAACCTGTATCATTTCTCCCTCCTGTCACATGTTTAAGAATGAGACCCTCTTTCTCAAAGCCAGATGTTATAGAAATAACTTTATATACTAGATTTTCTTGGGATATGATCCTATGCTCAGATTTCTTCTACTTGATGAGGATTTTAAGTGATACAAAGAAATGATAATTAGAAAAAAATTGACTTTTTAAAATATTAAATACAAATAGATGGCACAAATGTCTATGGTTCACATCAATGAATACTTCTCTTAAACGTTTTAATTATCTGTTATTATACTACTACACTTTCACAAAAATTGTCCAAATAGACATTCTTTGGAAGTATTGCTATCTAGTTAAACATGTAATTGGAATTCCAATATTACCAAACAGCTAATTTACATGACTTTGTCCCAAAGCAATGATCCACAAGAAAAAGATGTGTACATTTTGAGTGTATTTCTTAAAAACCAAATTTTAAGAAATTCAAATGAAGAACCTAAATGTTCCTACTTTAACCAAAGATCATTTCAGAACGTTAGAAATACAAAAATGGGAGACCTCCGATAATCCTCTCGAAGGGAAATTGCATTAAGTATGATTTCTTTAAATGAGATGAACATGTTCCTTTTCATGGTTTTAGGTAATATAAAGTTTTAAATTATACATGATAAGAGATCCATTCTTTTGAGCTCTGTCATATCTCCTAAGTTAGCTCTGTTTGGCATAGCACACACAAAATGGGCTATGCCATTCTTTTAATACCTAGGCATTATGCATTGAAACAGCAGATTTATCCTCTCCTGTCAATGTTTACCAATATTCAAATACATTTCCCACACTCCATATCATACTACAAATATACTTATTACAAACTAGAATATTTGGAGCATTATGACTTTGTAAAATTCCAATATAGTCCTACTAAGCATGCATGTTGACACCTAATAGCAGCTGCTTGATTTAATGATTAACTACAGACATGATAACAACTGTAAGGAAGTCACTTCCGTGAATGGACTCTACGGGCATCATACTGCCTCTCAAAGCCACTCCAAGTATCCTCGCTGAAACTATTACTGACTAATGTGCTATGTGTTAAAGTCAGAATGGGTTTTCACTGCTCTCTTGCCAAACTGACTAGAGAGAAAGCTTCCTACAGCAAATTGCAAGATTAACTGCAAACCCATTCCTGAAGATTAGAGGAGATCCTTATTTAGGAACAAATGCCCCCAAATTCAAGAAAATGCACGGAACCGTTTTTGTAGATTACCCTTCAGCCAAATGAAAGTGGCTTGCTCACCTCAGCCTAGGGATTGTAATATAAACAGTATGTTAGTAAATATTAGAATAGAACCAGGAAAGTTAACTAGAGAATTCATCCCTCTGCCCAAAAACACTGCTTTCAGGTACTCGAATATTTTAGGGAAAAACTGTTCTCTGTTCTGAATCATCTGCATATTTAATCCAACAACGTATTTAGTGTAAGCAGAGACATGATAAGGTATTTGGACTCAGAGACCTTTGCAAGCCATTGTCGCCTTACTGTGATGTCACCCTTTCTCATCACAGTGTTTTACATTTGGAGCTCAGCTTCCTTCACTGACAAAAGTTAATTACTAAAGACTTTATAAGGGGTTGGTTTGCAAAAATACCAAAAATTTAATTTCCAAAGTGTCTCCGATAAATGGATTCCTAATTCTAAAAAACCCTCCAGTGTCATCAGCAAGATCTGACTGATTTAGTTACCCATTTATAATATAAAGAAAATTAAGCAGGGGTCGGGAGGGCCAGAAACGAAACGTGTCTTTTAATGGAACTAAGGCGATGGAGTCAAAAGAGAAGTGATTCTGCATTTCAGAACAAAGGATCACATCTAAAGATAGTTCGCCGTGTTTCCGTAGGCAAAGGGTAGAAAAATCTTAACATAAGGGACAAAATCCTGTCGGTGTAATAAACTTGGACCAGAGTCAAAGTGAAATTCTGAAAAGCTATTTTTGCTTTAAAATAATAAAGCTATCGCTTTTATTTTGCAGGACGGTGTTACCTGCAGGATTGGTAAGGCATCTGCCTTTCCCGAAAAGGAGGGGGCTTTTCTGTCCCACACGTCCACGTCCAAGTTCGTACCTAACTCGATTCCTCCTACCTGAGTTGTGGTGTCAGACCCAGCAACAATTACAACCAAAAGTGAGATCCCTATCTACGAATCCATGTCCAGAGTTCTCCCAGCTTCCCATCGAGAGGCACGTCAAAGTTTTCATCATTACGTTAGAAATCAGAGAATGTTTTCAGCTTTACAGGAATAAAATGGTCATGCAAGGCACGGAGTTTTGAGATCTTAAAACCTCTTTAAAAAAAAAAAAACTCTCATCTGATCCAGTGAGATTTCTTAAGTCAACTTTTTATGTGGTTTGTGTGTGTGTTTTACACAACACTTGTAAGCTTAAGATTTGTCAAATGATATCTTCTTGGGTTCAAAAACTATTTTCTTTGAGGGTAGTTCAAACCAAAAGACTTACTTGGAAAATGGATTTTAATGTGAACTATTATCCAATTTGAACATCATGGTCACCTTTTCCTAACCTTCCAATCTGTTTACAGATGCTCATGCCCAGTTTGTCAAAGCAAAGTTTTACTTGATTCACCTATTAATCTCATAGCATAATTAACTAGAAAGGAAATGCAAGACCAGTATCCGTAACATTTTACAGTTCTTGGATAGTCCTTATGGGATACCTAGTGCACAGGGCTAGGCCCACAGCCATTCATGGTATAATTGTATGTACTAGAAACAGGTGCTTTCAAGGGTAAATGAAACCACATGTATCAAAATATACTTATGTCTCAGGCAGATGTCAAAGGAGGGGTCCATTTTAACGGCTTCCAACATGACCATGTGACAAATTAATTTTTTTGAAGTGTAGCAAATGATTTCTTCATGTCACTTATCAAATGTAGTAATTTTTGCTAATTCTGTGCTAGTTTCACAAAGAACATTCTAAGAAGTTATTTCTCCTGAATTACGTATCAAGTATTGTTCTTCTAAGTATAACCAGATAGGCTTACGATAATGCTCCGCATTTAAAATTAGACGGTCAGTGGAGCTAAATTAGAAAGTGACCTCTCCGTATTTCCAGGAAGCTTTGGGGTACTTTCATCAATTACTAGATACTGAAAACACAAGGCCAGGCTGCCCTCCGCCTCCATCCTTCTCTCATCAAGCTTGGAACTGCTCAAGAAATTATTTGGTGGGGGTCAAATGCACATTCCCCTTTCATGTGGAACCATGCTTAACTGAGTTGCACGTAGTAGAAATTGTTTCAACAAGGTAGAATTCTAAATTATTTACTTTTTGACTGTGCTTTACGGTAAAATCTTCGCAAGCTCTAGACCTCAGACCTCAGCTTTTGTACAAGAGTTAGTAATATGAACCTCACTACAGGACACGATCTAGATGTATTTTGATAGTATGGATGTTTGAAACCTCTCTTGGGCCAGCCAGGACCTAGCCCCGCTGGCCTCTTCGGGCCCTTTGTGACAACCCCTCTACAGTTCCACCCATGTGAGTGTTCCATCAGTTCCTCAAGTTCAACCAGCAAGTGTCCGTCACCCAGACATGGACCCACCGAGACAAGTCTGAAGTCCCGACAGTCGCAAAAAGTAGGGAAGTTCTTTCAATGGTGCATGTGTTAACATTTTAAAATTAAAACTTGAGAATTAAAACCTAGGAACTTCCAAGTTCCACCCAGCAACAAAAGGGGTGTACACAGCTAACCTTGGACAATTGAATGCCTGCTAATTCAATCGCCAGCATTCCAGTCATTAGCCAAGCAGTCTTCCAAATTAAGACATCCGGTCTCCTTCAATTTTCCACTTAAACCAGAACACAGGAGAATACATCGGACCAATCAGCTTAGGATATAATTACACATGAAAGGTGACTTATGGATTAATAGGAGGTATAGAAACAGCGCTGTGATGAAAAACCTACGGTGCCACTTGGAAGTTTCGTGGAATCACAAGTTTGTGAGGAATTGCTTCAACGTTCTGGATGGAGATTGTAGAAAATGGGTCATTTAAAAAAATCCTTAAATGACAAGAATGTTTGCCCATTCCCACTTGGGTAATTTAAGGCGTTTTAACAATTTCATCGACTCCGAATAGATTTGGTGTTAAAATACAGGTGCCGTGCCCTGTACCCATATTTAGACTCCATGGAATACATGACCACAACACAAAAAACACACAAGGGATTCTCAGTTCATATAATTTATTGCAGTTAGCACACAGTTTAAAAATTCACCAACACACCAATAGTACAAAACTAAACAGCATTATAAGTTATTCCCCCCTCAGGAAAATAAAACATACTATGATTGTCAAAGCTAGATGTCAGTCTAAGTTTTAGAACAAAGGAAGAATGTGAAACTAAGAAAAGGAAAAAGCAATCACTCACAATGACCACAAAAAAGAAAATCCAAAAGAAAAGTCCGTTTTCTCACAGACATTGATTGTCTTCTCTAAATTAATAAAAATTATTTTTAACATAAACTGTATTTAAAAAAAAAAACTAGAAACTCTTCAAGTAACTAAAGATAATGCTCCAAGGCCATTTTCACAGCTTTTTTTGTTTGTTTGTTTGCTTTAAATGCCATTACAGCCAAATTAATACACATTTGACCAAATATTTTCAAAACAGTCCAGCAACACACAATGGAGTTTTCCATTCAGTATCTTAAGCACAAAAATAGGCTATGTTTACAGTAGTTAAGGCGATCAAATTTCAAACAAAAGCAATTAAAAAAAAAAAGGGAAAAACAGCAAACGTTTTCCATGCTACTCCCATAGACCTTATTTGTAAGTGCAAGACAGGAAAACAAACACTGTGCAAAATGCTTCTGCCCTGTGTGCTGGTCATTACAACCACACGCTGGGCCGCAGCCTCTGCTGCCGCGATACACATAGTCTACTAACCCCCTTCCCCATGTCAATCAAGGCAGCCCAGTCCTTTCAGCCTGGGGCTTTTTTTCAGTCCATAGAATCTTTTCATGAGTTTTTTTTTTTTTTTTTTTTTTTTTTAGGGGGGGGTGAGGGAGAGGAAGGGAGGGAGGGTAAGGAAGAAGGGGAGAAAAAGAAAAAAAAAAAAAGAGAGAATGACCTATTGTCAATTTGTGCAGTAGTTATTCTAAAAATGCTCAACCGGGTAAATGTGTACACCTAAACTTTGAGCTGGCATGGGTTTTGTGCAATTAGAAGTTTGTTATAAATGCACACTGCACATGCAAATCTTTAAGCCGTTTGTAAACATTTATATTTTCCTTGTTATATAGCAAAGTTATCAATTTGCAACTTAAGTTTTTATTCAGCTTAACAGTTTCAACTTAAAGACAGTGGGAAAGTCAATTTAAATTATATAAAATAAAAATAAAAACAGTGCATTTACGTTCTTCATAACACCAGTTTTTTTCCAAATGGTGCTATTTTTCTAAGGAAATTAAATAATTTTAAACTCACTCATTAAAGTTATACAATGCAAACAAAGACAAAAAAATACATTGAAACTCATGCATTTCTGTAGCGTTAATATTTACTTTTCAAGCCTCAACTAAGAGCATCAACACAACCTGTCAAGTTCTGTGACCCCCCCCAGCCCACGTAATCAATTACAGTATACAAGAACAGTAATTCACATTTTTAAACACACAGTTCAACACTGCTGAAGCTGCAAGATCCTTGTCATCCAAGCAAACCTTCACAAAGACAGTGTCCCAGTGATCCCAGTGTACTTTCAGAATTGCTCTCATTGGGAACTGTCAGAAAACCAGAAGTTGCCACAGAAAAGTTGAAAGTCAACTGCTTGTTTAAAAATAGATAATCCAGCATTTCAGAAATTTTCCATTTGGGTCTAAAAGCATTCAGGTTTCCAACAGCCAGAAAAGATTCATGCAATTCGAGACATATAAAGAGGCTAATAAAACTGGAGGGAATTTCTACTTAAAAAAAAAAAAATCTGCTCTGTGGGGTGGGGGCGGGGAAGAGCTCAAAAGACAATGCAGTGTTGACAAAATGAAGCCATGAGAGCATTTTGTGATAGGATGATTTGTTTAGAAGGTTCTCACTGGCTTATTTCCCTACCCCCTCAAAACAAAAACACCTCCCTATTCTCGGACTTCCTCTAAAGTTTCTTTTATCAGAATGCTAAATTAGTGAGATTCTCATGCTATTCTAAAGTGCAAAAACAAGTTAATATCCCAACTTTTTAGTTCCAGGAAACAAGACTGCTTTTAGACCGTACCACAACTATATAGAGATCTATTTATATATATGTATATATATGTATATATATATATTATTTATATATCTATAAAATTATTTCCAAAGTTCTTGAGAGCTATCTTCTAAGGTCCAGTCTCTGACAGTAGGCAAGCTCAGTGCTTCGCTTTTGACGGACAAGGAGTTCACCAACTCACAGTGGAACTTGCGAATGTGTCTGTACAGGTCTCCCGACTGCGTGAACCTGCGCTCGCACCACTTGCAGGCGTGCGGCTTCTCACGGGTGTGCACCACGGCGTGGCGGCTCAGGTTGTGCGAGTACTGGAAGCTCTTGCCGCACTGGGTGCACGTGTAGGGCTTCTCCCCCGAGTGAGTCCTCTCATGGCGCTTGAGCGTGTACATGCAGGAGAAAGTCTTCCCACACAGTGAGCACGTGGGCACGTTGACATCGGCGGCGGGCTTGCTGCGGATGCCGTCCTGCTCGCGGAAGTGGGTGCTCAGGTGGATCTGCAGGATGTGGGGGCTGGGGAAGACTTTGTTGCACAGAGGGCACATGAAGATCTGGCCCGCGGGGCTCAGGATGTTGGAGACGTAGGGGAGCAGACTGCTCTCCATGCCCCCTTCCACCTGGACTCGCTCGCTCTCCGGGGTCATCATTTCGTCGTCGCTGGCTTTGTCCTCCCGATCCAGCTCCCGCAGGACCGAGTCTTCCCTCAGAGGAGCCAGATGGGCCGGCTCATACTGTACCCTGTTATTAGTGCTCACACTCTCCTTCACAGTGCTATGTTCCATGTCATAGTCATTAGTGCCAACATCACTCTCATCACAGGAAGCCTCTTTCTCCACCTTCACCTGCACCAGGTTGCTTCTCAGCACGTCCTGTGAAGAGAAATAAGAGCTGTTCAGATTTTCAACTCCTGAAAGGCTGGACTTGACAGACAGGTCCAGCACACAGTCAACATCTGCCGAATCCCTCACGGAGGTGACAGACCTCTGGGACAAAGACTCTGTTGAGCTGCAGGGGCTGGCTACTGTTTTTCCAGCTGCTGTGGCGTGTGGCTCTGCCTCTCCGCCAGCCTGGGGGATGCCTGCTGAGTCTGAGGGCAATCGCATCCACATGTTCCCAGGCTCGGCCGCCAAGTCCCTTTTGCTGGGCAGGATGTTCAATTTTTCATCTTCTCCTTCGTCTTCATCACTGGGCAAATCGCCTGCCAAGTGGCTGCTGCCATCGGAGAGACTCTCAACTTTGTCCGAACAACTTGAAGCATCTTCTTCCTTTTTGGTGCTGTCTGCCTCCGTGGTGGCTTTCTCTTTCAGCTTCTTTTTGCAGACTTTGACGATGTCATACATGTGGAGGTAACTGGCAGCTGCCAGCACGTCCTCAATGGGCAAGTCTTTGAACTGGAGTTTCCCTTCATACATGAATTCAAGCAGGAGAGCGAAAGCGGGGGCTGTAACAATGTCGCTGTTCAGATGAACAATGTCCCTTTTGTCCAGCTGGTCCTTGTAAAAGAGGTGGAAATACATGCTGCATGAAGCCAGTACAGCTCGGTGCGCTCGGAACTGGGCATCTCCCACCAGAACAGTGCAGTCACAAAGAAAACCCTGGTGCCTCTGCTCGCTCAGACACTGCAGCAAATGTCTGCTGTGGTCTGGAAACTCCATACTGTCTTCATAACCTGGGAAGAGAGGAATTTCTCATTAGAACTGGGTCAAGAATAACTTTTCAGCGCTCTAGTCCCCATATAAAAAAACACACATAATTCCGCTTTGGCTGCCGAGGTCCATGTCCCTGAATTTTAATCAGGCTCATGACCCGAGGACTACCAGATCACGCTCCCCAGACCTAGATGCGAGAAGAGAAATGTGCACGCACTTTGCGAACTTCCCTACTCAGCCAAACAGCCTCTGACACGTGTGTCTCCTCCTCCACCTGCCTGGACTTCTAGTCAAGCTCTAGAAACCTTCATTTAACTACGGCCTCGCAGTGAGAAATTTAGACTTCTTCAGGAGGAACGTAACTCCACTCACCAAAGTTCGTCCCATACAACCACTTTAATTTCAAAGGGGAACACACAATGAACAAAGATTCTGAAAGATTAAAAAAAAAAAAAAAGCTCTGTTCAACCATCCTTTGTTATTTTATTACTTTTGATACTTGACTGTACTCAGAAAGCACAGTTTACACGCACACACATTGAGCTGAATCAAGAAAAAAATGAAATCGCATAATTAGTCCAGAAATTAGCAAACAACTTACTTTTAAAGTCAGAGTGTTACAACAACAAAAGCCCTGTGTATAAAAACAGATGTTAAAGCCTTAAGAGTTGCAGGTACAGCACACATGTACGAGATCAGAAGGAACTACACCAACAGATGGAAAACATCATCTTTACTATGAACAAATCCCAAGATTTCAAAAAATGAACTGAGAAGAAAAATGCTTCTATTTCTTTGCAGAATCCCTTACTCCTGGACTGTGAGCAGCCAGAGGAGCTTTATTGAACTCTGAAAATTCTCCCATCTAAACTTTGATCTGTGGCAAGGTAGAATGAGTCCCGTATTACAATGAATTCAAACTTTTAAAAATAAAAGCATGCCACGCTTAAATGAAACTCAAAAACTTTACAGGTTCACCTTAAAAAAAAAAAAAAAAACAACACAGAAAAAAGCCTTTCTAGAAAAAGAGAAACTATTTTTTTTCCTGGCTCTGCCTTACCTCCACAACAGAAAATACTTTGTTTCAACATAACTTGATATATTTTGTTTTCTCATCAGCTTCTATTCTTTCAAATATGCATCCTTGCCCTTGTTTCCTGGTGAGGGGAGGAGGAGAGGAAAGGCGGAGCGGCCAGCCCAAGGGTCACAACTCAACCTCAACGGGGAAACTCCTCAAAAATAAAGAAAACCTGACTTCCCCTTTCCTGCAGCCAGCAGCAGCACCATCCGACTCGGCAAGTGCATTTTGGGAATGGGTACACTTCAGGTTAATATTCACAAATTACTTGCCTGCTTCCATACTTTGCCCAAGATGGACTCAAAAACTTTCATCCTAACCCCAAATATGCTCTGCAAGATGTCACTGCTAGAACACACCAAGATTTACAATACAATCACTCTAAGTGCCCCACAGCTAACATCAATCCTAATCCTTGAGAGGGCTAAAAATAAAGATTGGAGGGCAGCTCACAAGGTAGCCGTGATCAAATTAGGAGGCTGAGAGGACAGAGAGGGACGAAGAAGGAAGCTTATAAACATCTGATCCAGCTGACTGTGGCCATATGGCAGCTGCTGCCCAGATAAAGAGATTAAGAATAGAGGAGTGCGATTACAGCTGTCTGGCCAATTCAGGCAGCTCAAATCTACAAGTTCTAAATTAGTCGCTAACACAAAAACTCCTGCAAATAATTATTGTTATGCTGAAATAAAAGATCTCTTAAATATATATTTGAAAGAGAAATGAGGAAACCAGTCAAACTATTCTCCTGGGGACAAAAGTTTTTTTTTCCCCCCTTCTTAAAAAACCCTCGGTTTCAAAAGCACTACAGCTGTATGTTTCAGTACTGCTGCAGAACGTTGGAAGAATAAAGTTTCACAGTGGAATTAATCACACAACAATCCAGCTTCTTAACTAGAATAATCTGCTCCTGTAAGTTTCAATGCTGGATTCCAGTTTCCTATATCTCTCCCTCCTCCCCCCACCCTGAAAAAGCAAAAGGAATCTCAATAGCAGTGAACAACGACAAAAAAAAAAGGCATTTAAATCCAAAGTGATCTCCAAAAGCAGTATTTCAAAGCCTTTCTTAACATTTCAAAACTTCAAACATTTGTGTATCAAAGTTATTTACTCAAGTAAAAGGGAAAAAAAAAATTAAAACAAACAAGCCCAAGACTTTCAGCTCCAGTAAGATGTTCATTTAATACTCAATTTCATATATTATTCCTAAACTGGGTTAGAAAAGTAATGTGATTTTTTAAAATCAAATAAACAAAACACCAAAACAGAAATATGTTCAATCTAATCTCTTGCTACTCCTACCTTTAGGACACATAAACCTGATTAAGTTCTTTCCTCTGAGTCTTGCTGGCTCCAGGTCTGTTACATCGGTGGAAAAAAAGCAGACTAAGAGAGACAGATGCAAAGTGGAGATGATGTTAGAGAGGAATGAGATACCTTCTCCACCACAGATCCGCACACACTAACTCCCTGTCTGTGTGTTAGAATAAAAGGCTGAGGGATGGCAGGCTGTCAGCTGCTCTGACATCATGTTCAGATGGAAATGCTACCTCCAGCTGTGCTCCTTTTAATGCCATATGCTACTCCTCTACACTCCTGCCACCAGCTTTTTCTTAGGAGAACTTTTCTCTTCTGTTAGTATAAACAAAATACTTCAAAGTCTTCCTTTTTTCCCCCCAAACTTTCTAACAGAAGAAATTGAAAAACTCAGCATATGGAGTTCTCCTGTATTTATGGAATAGCAACACTTCTGTCGTAAGTTGGTGGACTGGCTCACACACTGCCGGCACACTCAAGCCACGGTGCTATTCAGGAAACCCAGACACACTTTTATCCAACTGCAACGTCTAGTTTCACAGGCAGTTTGGGGGCATTTTTGACATCTCCCGGCCCACCCCAACATTATCACGGCACTTTCTTTTTGCCTGCTGGGGCCATGGTCTGCACAGCTCAGAAATGCTGGCAAGAGCCACTCACGGCCATCACTCCGGGCCCGGCTCACCTTCTGAATATGCTCTTACTTGAACTACTTATCTAACAACGACCTGCTCAGTGCAGTTTCTCACCCCGCCACGGTCGATGCAAATTTCAAGGCTCACTATCAACAAGCTGAAACTGCACTTTCTGCAATCCTGGAAAGTACTGCAGTTCAGTGAGACGCGTTAACAAACGGAGAGCACTGGCCACCGATCACTGAAAATGAATGCTGCACCTGCCTATCTGATCTTTCTGCTCCGAAAAGGCAGAACCTTGTCTTCCCCCTTGATCTGCGGCCCATAACAATCTCTCTCTCTTTTTGGGTCACTCTGTGATGTTCATGATCACAAGAAAATCGTGGGGGTGCAGTGGGGGGCGCGGAGAGGCAGGTCTAGTAAGTTTGGGAACTTTTTGGCTGCAGTGGGTCTTGGCAAACGGCTGATGAAACTGTACTGTAACCCGGGCCGGGCTGACCGGTGCCCTGCAAGGTGCTACGCCATCTCCACGGCCTCGTGGGAGGGTGAGGAGCAGCACAGGAGCTGGGGCCCGAGGCGCAGGCGGCCCAGCCCCGGGGACACCCGCTCGGCGCTCCCCACAAGTTAAAGAGTAACAAAAACCCGACTCCTCCGTCCTGTCTCGCTCTCCCAAAGTCACCTAACTTTGTCCAACTTCGCGGTGAATGACATAATGACGAACGCCTAGTTCACGACACACTCCTCGGAGACAAATTCCCTCCGCAGCCACGCGGCCTCTGCTCCGACAAACACCCTCGGCCCCGCTCCGATACATCGGGCATTAATCACCCCACTTTCCCAGCGGGGTGGGGGCCGAGTGACACTTTAACGAGCCCCGAGCACCGCACTGGGCCAGCGGCTCCCACTCCACAAATCAACCCCTTCCCTTCTCGCGGCGGACCCACAGACGTTTTGTGAGGCTGGGGCGGTGGGTGGGTGGGGGGAAGAGTTTGTCAAAGGAGAGGGGGCAGGGGTGTTGAGTTTGGGAGTGGAGGGGGTTGGGGAGAAATGCAAATCTCGACGTAGTCCGCCGTGCATTAAGACGCTCGGGGAAAGAGGAAGGTTAAAAACCACAGGGAAGGAGGAGGTGGAGGGCGTAGAGCCGGTGCAGCAGGAAAACACCTTAAACAACAGCCGAGAAAACAGACCCGGGTCACGGCAACAACAAAAGAAAAGTCGTAAGAAGCAGCCGGGGGAGGAGGTGGTTGCCAGCGCTGCCCCGACGCCGCGGCGCGCGAGCCCCCGGGGCCTCCAGGCAACTGCACCAGCCTGGGGCGCGCGGGGAGTGGGGAGGGGGGGCCTTCCCCGCCGCCCCCTCCCCCCGGGCGCCACTGCAGCTGCACCGGTCCCCGGAGCCGCGGCCGTCCCGGGCGCCACTGCAGCTGCGGCGGCTCCCAAGCCCCCTCCCCCAGCCCGCCGCCCTCCGCACCCGAGAGGCGCCACCGCAGCTGCACCGGCCGGGAGCCCGCCCCGCGCCGCAGCTGCACCGGCCCGGGCTGGGTGGTGGGGGTGGTGGTGGTGGTGGTGGTGAGGGGGGGTGGGTGGCGCGGCACGGAGCCTGCGAGTCCGCACCCCGCCCGACCCCGCAGCTGCGGCGGCCCCGTCCCCGCGCCCAAGCCTCCCGCAGCTGCGCCGCCCCCCGCCGCCCCAACAGCTCCAACCACACAAACTAACTCCGCTGGCGGGGGGCGCCCCCGGCCCGGCCCGCCCTCCGCCCGCACTGCCCTGCCCAGCCGGCGAGGGCCGCACAGCTGGCGCCCCCCGCCCGCCAGCGGGGCCGGGGCGCGGAGGGGGCGCCGGGTCAGGGGCCGGGAGCCGGCGCCGGGACTCACACGGAGCGGCCCTAAGTCACCGCGTCCCCGCCGCCGCCGCCGCGTCCTCCGCCTCCTCCCGGCCGCCGCCGCCGCCGCCGCCGGACTTGGTGGGCTTCCTCCTCCTCTTGCCCCCCTCCCTCCCGGCCCCCCCACCCCCCAATCCCGGCTCCGTCGCCCGCTCCCCCCCGCCCCCTCCCTCCCTCCCACCCACCCCCGCTGGCAGCCGGAGGAGCGCGGCGGAGCGAAGAGGGCCCCACTCTCAACGGCTCCCCATGGCAGCAGCCCAGCGGCGGCCGCAGCCTGCCAGACACAGCGAGGGAGCGAGCGAGGGAGCGAGCGCGGAGCCGCCGGGCCGGGGTGGGGGGGGCGGTGCGGGGGGGCGGTGCGGGGGAGGGGAGGGGGCGGGAGGACGCACCACGCACGCACGCGGCGGCGCCGGCCAGATGTTCCCCCCCCTCGGCCCGCCCCTCTCCTCCCCAGCCCCCTCCCTCCGGGCGTGGGGCTTCTGCGATTGACCGAAAGCGGCTGGACCGGTGCTCCCCGCCCGCCCCCAGTCCGCCGGCTGCTCCAATAGAAGGGCGGCTTTTCAGGAGGGCGGAGGGCGTGGCAGGTAGTCGTCGGACTGACATGAGGATCTAGCCAATGAGAAGGGCAAGCCGGAGCTGCCGCCCGCGCGTGCCAATCGCAGGCAGCAACTGTTGGGGTGGGCGGGGCCCTGGTTGGGCGGGGGCCGGGAGCGGAGCGGCGCGGGGCGGAGTCCGCGGGCGCAGCGGCGGCGGTGGCAGCGGCGCCCCTCTGGGTGACTTGGCCGTGAGAAAGTGAAAGGAGCCCGCAGGCGGCGGCGACAGCTGCGGTGGGAGGGGCTTGTTTCCAAGCTCCGAGGCCCCGCGCACCCTGGGGTTGCGGAGCTAGCTTTTCGGAGTGCAAGGTGCTGACCGCAAACGTACTTTGAGGAGTCGCAGGGGAGCGGGCTCGGCCCTGCGGTGTCCCGCGCGTCCCGGTGCCCAGCGGGGCGCAGAGGACGCCGCAGCGCCGAGAGGCAGTTTTCTGGGCGGCGTTCTCCTCCCGTCGCGGTCCGGTTCCCGGCGGGCCAGAGCGCCTGCCATTCTCGCGGAGCCCAGGTGTACTTAGGCAGTCCCAAGCAGCGACAGTCCCAAGTGGCCACATCGCATAGTCTTACTGTGAGGTCGATCGTTGTAGGTGCCCTAGCCTGAGTGCACAGTTGGTTTCGCAGCAAGCCACAACTTTAAAAAGTACCGAGGGAAGAGGCAAGACTGTTGTTGTAATTTTTTTTTCCGAATAAACTTTCACTCAGTAGTTTGCAATTAAACTCTGTTCATCGTGGCCACAAAGAAAGGTAGAAAGTTTTCTGTCCTGGGGGTATTGGAATCTTGAGGCAAGAAATACAGTTTAAAAAGAAAGTTGGCTAACAGGTGGTGGTGGGGAAACAGGCTTCAAACTAGAAAGCTGTGAGGAAGTGAGGAAGGCAGTCCGCGAGTGCCTGTCTAATGAAACGTGTTTATTCTTGGCTAGCTGAACCCGGACTGGCAAGCCTGTTGCTCACCAACTTGCCAGGGGACCTTTCAACCGGGCAAAACGTGCTTTCGCTTTGTTCCAGGTCAGATGAGCAAAGGAAAGTTGAGAGTGCTGTGTGGGCACATCAGCCATGTGCAACTGCTAATGAAGTTAAAAAAAAAAAACACACACACACACACAAAATTTCCTGGAACTGAAATACCGTTGGAATATCCTGTTAGAAACAGCAGGGAGCCTCTCTAGCCTTGGCTCAACCTATGCCCTGGTGCTGGATCCCTGAGGTCAGGGCCACCCCGTGGTAGCTAGAGCTTTTCATTCCGTGAAATCTGGAGTTGCATCCCTACCTTTCCTCAACTCTAGGTTTGTCAAGCCTTTTGGTAGAAGACCCACTTTCAGGCAGACCTGTTTCAGGTGAGAGGAATTGATAAATGTTCTTGATGGATGACACACGCTCACACCCCCAAGATGTCAAACGGAGGGCATGTTTCACCAACACATTTAGGAAAATAGAAAAAGAAGAGATGCACACTCGAAGCTGTTTCCCACCTAGTAAGAGCTAAGCATCTCTGGATGAATGAACTTAAGAGATAGTGTTAGGATATTCAACAACACATTCGCGAGAACCTAAGAAAATTCATACTATCCATAAAAAGCCGTATGGTATGGAGGGCAAAGCCACAGCTCTGACAAAAGGTTTTACGGACTGAACCTGAAAGTAGAGTAACAGCCCCAGAGATGTGAGGGTTGGGAGGACACTATATGTGAAAAGTTACCGCTCTCCTGTACTAGGATCATCTGACCAGGAAATAGACGTGAAATGGGTATTTTAGGAGGCAAGCCTGTCCCTTGATGGCTTTAACTGTCTTGTCCCTGGTCCTTGGTGTGATTGTATTTTCCCTGCCCTATTTTTTACTTTGAAATTTCTGTGTTTGATACTCTATTTTAGACTGTCTCCTAAACTTACTGTACAAGTGATACTTTGAGTCCTCTCTGGAAAGCCATCAACCTACAAGTTGTAAATAGAATAAGGCTGCTGTCCCTATTTTCATTCAGCACCTGTTGGAACCAGGGAAGGTAAAAAAGAGTCTAAACACCTGCCTCAAGTAGGTGCCTCAGGAGGGGCTGTGTACCTCTGCAGTTGCCCTAAGCAGACTCCCATGATAGAAGGCTACTTGACAGGAGGTTTAGTTTTTCTTGGAGAGTCAATAACCTCTTTCTACCCCTCTTACGTTGAAAAAAAAATAGCGAAATAGGTACAGATACTGACCTATTGAAAAATGTAACACTGCTTTCTCTGTGGAGGACTCCTGGTCCTGCACACCTCCAGTTAATAGTAATCCAACTTTTCTGGGACTCCTGAGATTAAAAACTATACAAGTCAATCTGACCACTCAGGTTTCAGTTTCTTGCCAGGGAACAAGTTCCGTGTTTTACGTACATGCATGTTGACCCAATAACAATTTAATAGTATGTTGACAGACTAACTAAAATTATATTTGATAAGCAACCCTGTAAAATGTCTGACTTTTAAAATGTGAATCACAGGCCAAATCTCTGAAAAGCACCAGTGTGTTTATTACACTTGATGCAATAGACCATGTTGAAAAAGTTATCTGTGAAATTAATTTTTGAATATTGGCTTTGCTGATAAACTTGCTTACTTCTTGTATAATTGGAACTTTTTTCATAACAATTTAGAGAGGCAAATGATAATAGATCACATATTCCAAGGTCTGATATTCGTAATACAATAACTATAAATTGTGAGTAGAGATCACTTCATTTTTAATCTAGAGAGAAAAACACTAAAATCAAAAGTTTCTTCAAGCTTCTACTAAGCCTGCTCACTTCCAATGTCATACAGAAAATTCCATTAACTTATTTAGATTTTCCTCTCTTTTTTTCTCTTGTGGCTTTTAGAAATGAACAGGTTGAAGTGGCCTAAAAAGAGGAGGAGACACGGAAACACAGCTGAGACAATGATAAAAAAAGTAAATGAACAAACTGGAACGCACACAATAATGAAATAAACAGGGAGCAAATTTCCTGCTTGCATGATTTTTAAAACTATATGTACTTCAACAGAGCGCATAACTTACCAAGAAGCCATTCCTTGAGTTATAATTTTGGTGAAACTTGAATGTATTAATTGAAGTCCTAAACTCTGATAAGTCCTAAGCTGTACAAAATTCAGCCTGACTCTCAGCTCTGGAAGGCAGAAATCAGGTTATCACACACTCCAGAGGCTAGGTTCCTGAAGCAGCTTCGCACGGGGCATTGGGCTATAACCCTACACTGAAAACACAAGGAGTCTACACCAGTCACCCAAACTTGTTGAGGGTTCAGGGCAGAGAGAGGCAAATGACACAGTCATCCCAGAACTGTTTTTCCTGTGTATCCAGTTTTCAGTTGCTTACTGTAAATGAATGCTTTTACACACAGAGTGGACTAAGACAGCCAAGTCAGAGAATCTAGGAAGAAAGCAAAGAGGTATTTCAGCAGCCAAGCAAGCCACACCTGTTTTTCTCTTAGCTTCTCTCTGCCGCTGCCCCCACTATAAAATGCATTATACCTTACAGCACATGGAAGTAAAAACATGCATACAAAAATGCTTTTCATAAAAGTTAGCCTTGTGCTTTGAATATATTCATCATTCACTGTGTGCGTCATCTCAGGCACCTTTTCAACCCCAGGCTGACTGTCTCCCTTGCTGCACCGGATGCCTTCCTGCCATCCGTTTCTGAGAGTTCAATCAGTTAAAAATCACTGAAATGTCATCCTAACAAATCAAATTTATATAGATAAGTCTACCATCCCTGCAAGTCACAAATACCTCCCGAACCAGATGTTGGAATTTGTCTGTTGTGTTGGAGGTTGCATTAATTTGGATCATTAAAAGGTACTTTCATTTTATCTGTGTTTTTTTCTTTTAACTTAATCTAAACCTATTACTTTTTCAGATGAGTAGCCTCCGTTAAAGAAAGATTTAATATGAACCTGTGACTTTCATGCTCCTTTTTTCTCAATCATGTCTTTAAGGGGTAATGGTTGTTCTAAAATTATATATAGTAAATGGAAGTGGTTTGTTTTGTTGCAGATGAAAGAATAAAGCTTCTAACTCCTTAAATGTTAATATTCTTAATTATATCAAGTGCTTAAATTGGATTTTGTAGAAATTCAGGGTGGACATGAACTTAGAAAAGATGAAGAGAACAAGAGTGATTCCCAGTGGGTACTGACCTTGCACACCTACTGTGTTAGGTGCTGTGCTTCTGACCAAATGATAGACACCTTGCCTCTCTGCGTGCATTCCAAAACAGGGAGAGAATTTTCCCTTCCTTCTGTGCTTGCTCCACTCTTGAATGCAACACCTGCTTGGACTTTAAACCAGCAGAAGGAAAAATGGTGCATCCAGAAGTTATTTACTGAGAACGTATAATACATTAGAGAAACAGAACCACATTATCACAGGGCTTGTAGAATTTCCATCGTGTGCTGGATGCCAACAATACATGAAATATCATTCTCCATTATATTTATGACTTCACTATGTGTAAATGTCACTGGGAACCCACTGGACAAAGGTGAGATTTCATATTGTTGGTGTTTAATAAATTCATACCAGTTCTAACCATTGTTAATAACATAAAAGTGTCTTAATAAAAATCTTTGGTTATAAAGAGATTGTATAAATTTAACACAAAATCTCAGTACATACCAAGTTCAAACTATTCCCGGTAGTAAGAGCAGACATAAGGTTAAATCTCACTCCAGAAATTTACTTTGTCCTTAGCGATAACATGCAACTCAGGAAGTTACTTCTCTTACAAAGAACTAGCATTTATGCTTAAGACTAAAATGATTATTTTTAAAGTATCCATTTTACAATGCAAATGTGTATCTAAATTAAACTCAGTAAAAATAAGCATTTTAAACTGAAGCTGCAGTAATGGCTTTATGGGAGACAATAGGGAAAGTGGTTCTTGAATGCGAACTCAGAGCAAACAGATTTCAAATTCCTCTTAGGGGACTTAACGCTCTCTTTGTTCCCTGTCTGTGGATGTTAATGTACAGGCAAGTGTTTGGAAACCCATTGCCCTGAAGTTGTTTACAAAACTGAGGCTTTTCAGGGATGAGGGTCAAATGTCAGAGGCGGGGTGGGGTTGGTGGGGCAGAGAAACAACTAACTGATAACAGGTCTACCTTTCCAACCCACGCCTTAACAACTCTTGCGGGCACAGAGGCGTGCTAAGACACAACAGCAATGAGAAATGGCGTAGCGAAGACACATCCACAGCAGAGCATTTAAACAGAGTGACAGAGAAGAGCAATACAGGGGACAAGAGTCTCACAGAGGAGAGGGAGAGCTTTTTAAAGAACCGTGGGAAGATGTGACTCCATGGAGAATTAAAGAGCAGCAAAGATCCCAAGCGCAAGCATTTTCTGGTGGGGAGGGTGGTTGAAAAAGTGACCTCAGTAGCCAGGTACGCAAAGCAGAGAGAGGTCAGCCCTCCTTCCTGGCTCTGCAGATCTGTGCCCCCATCTTTGGTCAAACTATGCCTTCCTAACTGTCCTTAAATAATGCTCTATGAAATACTCTTAAATTTCTTTTACACTAAATAAGCATCTTGTAATTCGATGTTTCCACGAACTGTTTGAAGTATCCTCTTAGCCCAAAAGTAGAGGGCTAGGATATACCTGGTATTTCACTCTTCCCAGACACAGACACAGCAACTACATGTCCATGCCCTTGTTTAGGTCATGAGTTTGTTTGTTTTTCTCTTGAGACCTTGTGACAAACTAGTTTCTTAACATAGAGTCAGTTTCATAGAATGCTCATTAGATTATTTTAGATTGACCTTATTGGGAAAATGTGGGGTTGTGTAGACTTTTCAATGAGGAATATGAACAATTTGTTTAAACCAACTAATCATCATCTATTCATTCATTCATTCATTCATTCAACAGTCACTGAACCCTGACATACACAGGGCCTAGCACTGACACATGGATCTGGCTGGTACCAAATGCGTGAATTGGCATTGGAAAGAAACAAGAGTTAAATTACTTTGATGGCCGGCGCCGCGGCTCAATAGGCTAATCCTCCACCTAGTGGCGCCGGCACACCGGGTTCTAGTCCCTGCCGGGGCGCCAGATTCTGTCCCGGTTGCTCCTCTTCCAGGCCAGCTCTCTGCTGTGGCCAGGGAGTGCAGTGGAGGATGGCCCAAGTGTTTGGGCCCTGCATCCCATGAGAGACCAGAATAAGCACCTGGCTCCTGCCATCGGATCAGCGTGGTGTGCAGGCCACAGCGGCCATTGGAGGGTGAACCAACAGCAAAGGAAGACCTTTCTCTCTGTCTCTCTCACTATCCATTCTGCCTGTCAAAAAAAAAAAAATTACTTTGATAACGTGAACCAGGAACATTCCCGTGACCTAAGATACTGACTCCACATTTTGTTTCCTATCTTATGGGGTGCAATACAAACTCCCTTGGAATGAGGACTTTTTGTATGATATTAGTGCCTGTATCCTTAGTGCCTAAAAAGGTGCTTGGCAGAATAAACATTCAAAAAATATGAGAAGAGGGCGGGGGGTGGGTGTGGGGAGGAAGGAAGGAGCTAACTTGTGCCTTTGCATCTCTCCAGAGACTGGAGGGACTAAGCAGTGCTTTATATCTTCCACTTCCCCTCAAAGTGAGCAACAGAGCTACTATGAAGACAACCAAAAAAAGAGTGCTCTGACCCAGCAAAGGGAGTGCTCCTGTAGGCATGATGAAACTTTACTCCTGGGAGAATCATATGTAAAGAGTGTTTCATCTTTAAGGCATGTTAGAGATGACAAAACACTTCTCACAGGCTTAAGATGTGTTGTTTTTGTTACTTGGAGAAGGTTGGAAGAGAAGGTTTAGTCACTTGTCTAAGGCACCAGATTAAGGTGAGTTGCAAAGCCAATTTGTTTTCAGTGCACTAAGTCATTGTTCCTCAGATGTTAGGCCCCTTTGAAACTAAAAGAGAATTCTGTTGGCTTTTTTTTTTTCCAGGTTATTTATTTTATTTGAAAGGCAGAGTTACAGAGAGAAAGGGGAGGGGAGAGAGAGAGAGAGACATAGAGAAATGAGAGATCTTCCAACTGCTGGTTCACTCCCCAAGTGAACTGGGGCTGGGGCTGGGCCAGGTCAAAGCCAGGAGCCAGGAGCTAGAAACTCCATCCAGGTTTCCCACGTGGCTAGCAGGGGTCCCAGCACTTGCCCTATCTTCCACTGCTTTCCCAGGTACATCAGCATGGAGCTGGATTTGAAGTGGAGCAGCCAGGACTCAAACTAGCACTCATAGGGAATGCTGAAACGGCTGCATCAGGAGGCCAGCCAGAGTATTCTATTGTTGAACATATTGGAATCTGCCGTGCTTTGAAAAACACACAGTCTATCAGATCTTTATCCTTGAACCACACAGACAAGCTAAAAAGATAATGAAAGAAATTATTCCTGACTTTTCAAGTGCAGCTTCAACTAAAGACATCCACCGCTGGTGGCTATAAATACAGATGTCTGCAAGCAAGAGATGCTTTCCCTGTGTGTGGATCCTGTTAAAACAGTAGGGTCCCAGTAGCAGTAAATCTGGTGCAGAGGAATCGATAAAACTGTATCTGGGTGCATCCTGTGACTATGAGAAATAAAAGATTATATTTTCATTTGCATGGTTTGCTGGGTTTTATTTGGCAGATATAATAACACAAGCTACGCAGAGCCCATAAAACAAAGTGAGAACAGCAGCTCATTTGGTGGCAGAATGTAACAGTTATGGCTAAAGGGCTTACATAATTCATCTCAAACTCTTATGCCTATATTTATTGTTGTTTAAATGAAAATTAAACTCTCACAGCCATAAGGAGGGATCTGGTCAGGAATTTGATTGAGGTCCTTTATTCCTACACTGTTTCTAGGATGATCAATCTGTGACATTTAAAAACAGCTACAGAAATATCCAAGAATGAGCATACTTACCTAAGCACATGAGTACTGCATTCCTCCAGTCCTGCTGTTGTCAACAACTTGAAAACTCCTGCAGAAGGACAGGGAGTAGAGCGAGAGGCCCTGTTCATTATTCCGCCTTGGAATTTCTAGTTAGACTCAGAGCAATTGTAAGCCATGGTGAAGAGCTAATGCTTCACATTCACATGGTGTTTAGTACAAGATAATATATTTTATGGGACTGGAGGGCAGTACAAAAGCAGGACTGAGCCCGTGATATTGGCCCAAAGGCAGAGAAGAGGGGCTGGGTCTGATAATCTCAGACATATCTTTCACATAAACGTAGAGCCTTTTATATAAGTCAAAGTGTTTTTATTATATCATATTGCTGATTTTTAAATTGCTTTATTATAATGCTATATCAGAGTAAAAACTTTGACTCCCAATTGTGAATGTATTTGGCCATTGAGGGATAGGGATTTTTGTTTATTTGTTGTGAAGCATCAAATCAGGAATATAGTTAAAGAGAAATCTGTGCCACGTTATTATATGCACATCTGGATAAGGTTTAAAAACACCAAGGATTATTACGTGGATTTCATGAAAATGGGACCATAAGGCTTAAAACAGGTGTGTAAAATAACATTCTGATTTGTCAGCAGATCTCACAGAGGTAACATATATTAATGTATAAACATGTTTTGTAATGTTAATTAAAATCATATGTCATGTAATCAGTTAGAAATGTTTAATGTTTCTGGGCTATTATCTTAAAAAAAAAATAAAAGCAACAAAGTAACTCAGTCATTTTTAAATGACCAGCATATCCTCTCCAGACATGTTAAGTAGGCATGAAAATAAATAAAAACACATGGCCCAAATTTTACCCACCACGTGCAAGTACACAAGTGGCTATTTTTGAAACTGGGTTATCTCTCTTGATTTTAGAACTCCTTCATTATTTTTAGGTAAATTAATATGGACACCAATGTGATTATCTTGAACTTTCCAAATTTGAAAATTTTATGCCATTTAGGTTGTTATTATATATATAGATGAACCAATTTGGAGAGAAAGACACATACAAAAGGAAAATTATTTTAGATGACTATTAAATGCAAGTAAATATCTCATTTTCTAAATAATGAGATAATTGACAGAATTCATCTTGTTTTGGTAATAAGCCCAAAGGGTTTGCAAGAGAGTGTGTGTGAGAGAGGGACAGTCTCTCTCTCTCTCATGCTAGCTTTAATTACACATTCCTCAATTTTAATAAGAATCAACTACAAGCAAAAAAGGAATATTAAAATAGAATATTACCCATTTTCATTTGAAACAAGAATGTCATTGTCACAAATATCTTACAGCCTTGTCTATTTCTTTTCAGGACTACCTTCATCTTTTAATCTGCTGATTTGATAGCCTTTGGTCAAGAGGAAAGGGGAAAAAGGGTAAACCAATCTGATGCAGATAGTTTCACAAAGAAGGAAAAGTTTAAAAAATGTTTTAGGTAGGGGAGAGGAGAATGGAGAGAACCAAATAAAATTAGGCAACGGTTTAGAAAGAATATTATGTAAGCTTTCAATGGGTTCATTTATTTCCCTAATACACAATTTTTCAGATTGGAAATGATATATTGTAATATTTTAACTTAAAAAAGAAAATTCCATTCACTAAATTAAAAACAAGATCTAGTGCTTTGCAAACATGAATATTCAATGTATAAAATCTTGGTAGCCAAAGGAGCCCCTGCTAGTTTTTGGGGATGGCACGACACTGAGAGACTTTTGAAGCAAGAGAGCCAAGTAAGGAAACAAAGATCATTTTTTGCTTTCAAAGACATTCTAGCACAAACAGGAATCACTTTCAGAACTGCCTGTTACCAAGGCAAGTGGGCATTGGTGTGGTCAGAGTGAATATCCACATTCTATTAGCCCAAATGACCGAATGGAATGATTCATGTTTTTCCCCATCCTCCATGCAATGCGCCTCCAGACCTCACCTCCATCCCAAATGTTTCTCTTTACACTTTTTGCTTGTGAGTTCGTCAAGCCTATTATTATTATTTTT